CTCCTTATATTGTCTCAAGGGCAGTACTGTCATGGTGTCTTACCACTGTTGATGGAGATTGACTGTATGGTGGGGTTTGTGTTTGTTAGCTTCCCCACTCTGGGTTGACTCCTTCATCTAACTATTGTCCTGTATGGATGGATGTCACTCCTATGTGTAGGCCACACTGTCATGAGAGTTCATTAACCCCTCACAGGCACAGCAGCCACATACAGTGTGTGGATATATTTCATATGGGAGATGTTTCATTCTCACATATGTGTTTATTCAATCATTTGTACAAGTGTGGACTTGTGGATTTTTTTTTGGTGGTATCAGGGATCGAACTCAGGACCTTGTGCTTGCCAGGCAAGCACTTATTCCACTGAGCTATCTCCCTGGTCCCCCAATTGATGTTTACATTATTATTATTATTATTATTATTATTATTATTATTGTGGGGAGCCAGCTCAGCCCACCCTGAGGGCAGGGCTGGTGCAACATGTGGCGTCGGGGATCAAACTGTGATCCCCTGCACCTGCCTAAGCTTGCCTAAGCAGGCACTTTATTTAGATCACTGAACTTTTGCCGGCCCAGATGTTTATTTTATACTTTGGGTTATAATCTATTATATTATAATCAACTTACTTTGTTGCTCTTTTTGTTGTAACGTTACTACTCAGTTCTTCCAATTCTTGTGTCCCTTTGATATATCCACTTTGGTACTTTTTGTTTTTAAAAGAGGAGGTCCTATAGTCACTGAAGGGAATGCATAAGAATTAAACTTACTGGGGCTGGGGAGATGGCTCAGAAGAATAAATGCTTCCCTGGCAAGCACAAGGGCCTGAGTTCAATCCCCAGGCCTGAAAAAAAAAGAAACTTACTGTCTTGCAGTTGTCTGCTTAGTGAAACAGTGGTGGCTGGAAGTTGTGGGAATGTGAGTCAGGTGAGTGAGAGTGACTCATTCACTCTCAATGTGCTGTTGCATGTTTGTTTCTTTGAGCTAGACTTAAAAATCACTGTACATCAGTGGAATAAGTGCTTCCCTATCAAGCGCAAGGGCCTAGTTCAATCCCCAGTTGCACTAAAAAAAAAAAAAAAAAAAAGATCACTGTACAAATAAGTTATCACTCCACTGGCGCAAGGCTGCACATGTTTGGCCTCAAGGGTTATGTTCCTCTTGTCCTTGTCCTGTTCTGCTTGGAGTGGGGAGATAGTATTAAACAAGGTAAGAGAGAATAGGGTAGTTAAAAAAGTGTTCTTAACATTAGGACCCAATGAATAGACTAAAGTTGTATTGTAAGATCAACAGGTGTTAAATATTTGTCTCACTGTTCTGTTCGTCACATACACATCCCACTTATACTTCATAATGTACCTGCAGGCTGTGAATCTACTCTAGTTAATTTATGACTGAAAGCTTTCCTACAGAAGTCACTGCACTGGCTCCAGGAGTGATTGAATTTCGAGGAATGCTCACCCACTTGCAGAATGCTTCTTCTGTGAAATTAGAAAGAACTGAAGGCTGTTTAGTCACAACTGTCCCTCTTTGGCTGCTGGCTGAGGAGCCATATTTCCTTTGCAGAAGCCAAGCTAGGAACAAACCTGTCTCTGCCAGGTGGGAAGCAGCTCTAGTAACGATCAGCTCCTGAAGTAGAGCCCCCACTATGAGTGTCTGTGTTAGCACCATCCCCCTGTGTCCCTGTCCCTAGCTCCTAAGACACTTTTATGGCTTATATCTAGCCCCAAAGCTTCATGTACTGGTAGATGGAGCTTTTGGGAGTAATTGAATCCATGGGTGTGTGATAGTGCATTAGCCTATTGAATGGTTTAGTGTAGTTTTGGGTGTGGATGGTGGATTTACTGAAGAGGGAAGGCCCACCCTAGGTGTGGCTGGTACCAACCAATAGGCTTATAGCCTGATTGGAATAAAAAAGGAAGAAGACTTGCTACTTTCTGCATGCCATGCCTTGGGCTACTGCTTTTCTGTCATGCTGCGTTGCCTTGAAGTTAGCCACTACCAATTGTAAGCCAAAATAAACCTTTTCCTCCTTTAATTTGTGAGTGTTGGGTGTTTTGTTCCAGAAAAGAAATAAGACTCTACTTTAGTAGAGTGTCTAGGGCATTTGTGTCCTAAAATGACTGTGTCAGTAGAAGTTAGAGCAACAACTAACATGAGTCCTGTTGGGGCTGTTTCAAACAAGTGACCACAAACTGAGTGGCTTAGAACAACAGTCATGTATTCTTTCAAACTCTGAGGCCAGAATTCCAAAATAAGGTATGGGCAGGGTGCTCCCTCCAGAGGCTCTGGAGGAGAACGTTGTCCAGCCTCTTCCAGCATCTGCAGCCTTGGGATCATGCTGCCCAGTCTCTGCCTCAGTTTCACATGGCCTTTGTATCTGTTCATTCTCCATCTCCTAAGAGGATGCTTGATGGCTTTCAGGATCACCCAGATAGGCAAGTACAGTGTTGTCTTAGGACTCTTTTATTTAGGTCTTTCTATATATAGTAACATTCAGAGGTTCTGGAGATTATTTATTTACCTTTATTATCTAAACATTTTGAGTTTTGGTTTCCAGCCTTCAAACATTATTATATGTTTTATGATAATCTGAGTTAATTCTAGCAATTCTGGCTTTTCTGTGATAATCCACATGTTTTGCCCCAGCCTGCTATAGCTCTGTAGGTAACTTAACTTCTAGGATAAATGAGCTCAGTAGGGAAACATAAAAAGACTAATTTGGTATTGGTTGACACATAAGAGTGTTCACAGCAATATTATTTGCAATAGTTATTTATTTATTTATTTTGCGGAACTGGAGATTGAACTCGAGCCCTTGCGCTTTTCAGGGAAGCGCTTATTCCACTAACCCATCTCCCCAGCCCCTGTAATACTTTTAACATAAAAATGTCATCAGGAATAAAATGGTGGCATTACATACTCAGAATATTAGACATCAATGGAAAAACAGCCTCTGGTGTGGTCTACAAGGTACACAGTTCTCGTACAACACTGAGTAGAATGAGATAGATAACAGGCATGCACCACATTTCCACCATATCAAGTACAGAAACAGGCATGGGGCATAGTGGCACATGCCTCAAATGCCAGCACTCAGAAAGCTGAGGGAGGAGAATTCTGAGTTTGAAGTCTGCCTATAGCAAGACCCTGTCTCACTGGGCATGGTGGCACACACCTGTAATCCTAGCTCATTGGAGGCTGTAAGCAGGCAGATCACCACAAGTCTGACCTAGTAATGAGACTGAACATCCTGTAGGCCCTTCCCTAAAAAATACAAATAAATAAATAAATAAATAAGAGGATTTATTTGGCTTACAGTTTTGGAGGTTCCCATCTGTGATTGGTTGGCCCTATTGTTTTGAAACTGTGAGGTAGCATGTGATGGCGGGAGTGCATGGTGGAGCAAACCTGCTCGCTCACAGCTGGGAAATGAGAACAAACACAGCCCCCCTTTTTGGTACCCCACACATCTTTCAAGGGCAGGTCTCCAATGACCTACAGACCTTGCACCAGGCCCTGCCTCTTATAGTTCACCCCTGCCCAATAGTGCCACACTGGGGACTGAACTTTTAGCACATGGTCCTTTAGAGTACATTCTAGTTCCAAACTGTAACGTCACTTATCCCAAAGGTTCTGTTTATGACATGGGTTCAGCCCAGGATCATGCATTATATTTTTTAGTCTCTCTAGAGTCTCATCTAGAATTCCCCAGCCTTGTTTTATACTCAGCCTTTGACTTGTACTCAGATCTTCAAGGTGTATCACATTCCATTTCTGTTGTGTTTATACCACCATTTGTCTAATCCATTCATTGGTTGATCTGCCTATGGTGAATTCCCATAATTTTGGCTTTTGTGGATTAATGTTTTCCTTAAACCTTGTTTTAGCATCCATTGATGATTAAAAAAAATTTTTTTTTTCATTTTATTTTTCCATTGATGATTTTTGCATGAACTAGTTACTACTGTGATAATGTTAAGGTTTTTCTTTGCCACTAAAATTTTTAGATGGAACTATGCTATGAAGAAGACATAAAGAGCTTGTATATAGTTCTCATGTCAGATACTCATTTCAGTAGGGGTGTGGGGTTTTATCCAGTGTAAATCATTCATTCTTGTCCGTGATTATGGTTATATTGTTCCAAAATGGTCCAGTGGGGGTTCCCACACTGGCCTCTTTTCTCATGTGGCTGCAGGTGAAATTTTTTCTTTGATAATAAACTTTGTTTGGTTTTTTTTTTTACGGAACCGGGGATTGAACTCAGATCGTTGGGTTTGTCAGTCAGGCGCTTATCCTACTGAGCCATCTCCCCGGCCCTAAACTTTGTTTTTGAAGTAGGTCTTGCCACATAGTTTAGGCTATCCATGAACAACTGTCTGTAGCCCAGGCTGACCTGAAATTCACACCAATATTTCTGCTTTAGTTTCCCAAGTACTGGAATTACAGGCATGGGCTACCATGTAGCCTGGCAGTGAACTTAATATTTTTTGTTGTGTCTATTGCTTTGATTCTTGTCCTGCTCTCATTTTGTGGTTTTGTTTGTGTCATTTTGCTTCTTTTTCTTTTTGGAATGGGGGATTGAACTCAGGCCCTTGCGCTTGCCAGGGAAGCGCTTATTCCACCGAGCCATCTCCCTGGCCCATCATTTTGCTTCTTAATTTGCTATGCTTTTGGATCCTGGCTTGTTGAACCTCAAGTGGTGCCTAGGTTAAAGGTGGCTGGATGTGAGTTGCCGTCCTGAAGTGGGAATGGCATTGCTGGAGAGGAGAATGTGGTGAATATTCCCATAAGAAAGATTACGGCTGTTTTTTTATATTGAGCTAGTTTTGAGCTATAGTAAGTTCTTCTCTAGGGCAATTGAAAGGATAAACAAGTGATCTTTTAGAATAGGAAGGCTTTGCGATGAAATTCTCCCCTTCTTCCCCTTGCATCTTTGGCTTGGATATTTCCTGTGAGAACTATTGCATTGCAGTTTATTAATTCTGTTCTCTGAATTCAGGCCAAGTCCTGCGTCTGCCATGTGTGTGGTGTTCACCTGAACCGGCTGCACTCTTGCCTCTATTGTGTCTTTTTCGGCTGTTTCACAAAGAAGCATATCCATGAACATGCCAAGACAAAGCGGCACAACCTCGGTATGTTTTTTTGTCATTCCCTAAATATTTTCTCTCGTTCCCTAAAAAGTACTCTGATTTTTCTGTCACATAGTGAATATCAGGTCCTTATTTTTCCTTTTGAAACACCATCAGGAATAAGATTGGGCAGATTTGCAAAGAGACCTTACATGTAGGACAGTTGGCCTCGCAGTTCAACATCTGCAGATTGACCTAATCTCAGATCAGCTATATTCAGGGAAAAACATTGCATGTGTACTGAACAATACAGACTTTTTTTCTCATGCCCTAAACAACACAGGGTAACAGCTGCTGACATAGCTTTTACATTGTTATGTATTATAAGTAATTTAGAAACAAAGAATATGGGAAGATATAAACAGATTATATACAAATGCCATTATGTAAGAGATATGTGGATCTATAGATTTTGATCTTTATGAGCAATTCTGGGACCAACCTATTCACCCCATAGTGAAAGATATGTTCGGGAGAGAAAAATCATTCACATTACCATGAAGTTGAGTGTGTATGGGTGACTTTTATTGCTTTCAACAATGGATTTTCATGAAGACAACAATATACAATGTATTAATTATTGTAACTGTCCTACTAACCTGTTTTGAAACTGTCTCATTGCTATGTTTCTCAATAAAATTAATTTTTAAAAAAAGGATTTTTATTGTTTCAAAAAACAGATATGACAACCTACCTTAACATTGTGGGGAAAAAAAAAATCTGATAAAAAAAAAAAACAAAACATTGTGGGATATCAAGGCAAACTTACCTTTCATATATTTAAAAATTCAAACTTCTTTATTTTGAAGTTATGTAAAGCTTAAGTTTATGATTATTTTACTTTCTGTCATTAAGTAATATCATGCTCAGTTGTGAGGTCCTTAGTATGTCATGCAGAAAATGATGTTCAGAGGGTCCAAACCACAGAACTTGGTTTGAAAAATACTTCATATGGACCTGGCAATTCCACTAAAAGGTAAATTAGACCTCCTTTCCTAAAATTCTGTAATCTAATTCTCTCTGGAAAATACAAGCCTAAAAAATCCTAATTGAAAGCAGTATGGCACAGATTTGTAAAGGTGCTACAAAAATCCATGTCTTTTAAAAAGTTCACAGTGCCTATCCATGGTGAGGTGACTTAGGTGTCATCTTATTGTGAACTAGGTCTCGTGATACGGACATACGGAAGCTATTGAACATTGTTAATGTACCCTTTGGACTGTTGTGTTTGGATAAATAATAGTTTTAGTAATTGCTCATGTTTTAATTGTAATTGTTTATCATGTATGTATATATGTTCAGGTTAGAAAAATTATTTGGAAATATTCTCCCATTCTCTAGGCTTGCTTGCTTGCTTCTTTTTCTTTTTCTTTCTTTTTTTTGGCAGTACTAGGGATTGAACTCAGAACCTTGCACTTGGCAGGCAGGCGGCTTTCTTTTCACTTTTTTTTTTTTTTTTTTCTTTTCACTTTCTTGATATGTTTCAGTACACAA